ATTTGGTCATGTTGTTAGAAGGGACCATTCTCTGGAGAAGGACCTCATACTTGGTAAAGTGGAGGGTCAAAGAAAAAGGGGAAGGCCCTCAATGAGATGGGTTGACACAGTGGCTGTGACGATGGGCTCAGGTATAGTAGGAATCATGAGGGTGGCACAGGACCAGGCAGTGTTTCGTTCTGCTGTACATAAGGTTTCTATGAGTCGGAGACGACTCGATGGCACATAAGAACAACAACAACAGATTAGTTTGGTGAGTAGCAACTGGGGTCATATAAGCTTGCAAGTGGCCATCTAGATGCATCAATTGGTCTCTCCTCACCTGGAGCAAAGAAGATTGAAGAAAACCAAAGACAAATGGAAACAATTAGTCCAAGGGACCAGTGGACCATGAGAACCTCAGCCTACATGACCACGAGACCAGAGGAACTAGATAGCGCCCAGCTACCACTGTCAACCACTCAGAAAGGATTCAGTGCAGGAGATGTTGGATAGATGGGAGAAAAATGTAGAACAAAACTAAAAATCTTAAAAAATGGCCAGGCTTACTGGTCTGAAAGAGAATGGTGAAACCCCTGAGACTATGGCCCCTAGTCACCCTTTTGGCCTGGAATTGAACTCACTCCCGTGGCTTCCAGCCAAACAATGGGCAAGCATATAAGATGAACATTTACACTAGGTAGATACACTCCTTAGAACAATCAACCATGGGAGATCAGAAGGGCAGTATTTGCACAGGGAGATATCTCAGAGGGCAGGAATGCACAGGAAAGGACACAGGGAAGGGGTAACCACAGGGAGGAAGTGGAAGGACAGCAGTTACACTATGGGAATTGCAGCCAGTGTCACAAAACAATGTGTATGAACTGTTGTCTGGAGAATGAATTTGTTCTGTTAACTTTCATCCAAATCATAACAATAAAAAATAAAATAAAACAAAAAGACAGGCAATGGAGAACATTTTGTAGTCACACTCTGGCATCACTATAGCCTGATCCCATGTTATAAGAATTTTGATCATCAGCAGGGTCTCCAGAGAGTGAAAGGTTGTGGCTCATTGAAGTTGACTGGCTGTCTCAGATCACTCAAATGGGAGGGCTTGGTCCTAAACTAATGAAGTACTCTTTTCAAGGCCTTAACATGCTTCTTGGTGTGGAAAACTTGCTGGTTAACTGCACACAGTGCGGGCTGAGTAGTTTGCTGAGTTTGATTTCGGACACACTGAGTTTGAAGCACCAGTGGGACATCTAGGAGCCATTCATGTCGAGGAAGCAGCTGGAACCTGAATGTTGCACAAGAGGTTCAGGCTGAAGATGCAGAGTGAGAAATTGTCATGTATAGAGGAGAAGAGGCTGCCATGGAAACAGAAGAAATATATAGAGGAGTTCCTGAGTGGTGCATGCTGTTAAGAGCTGGACAGCCAGCTCAATGTTGGTGGTTCAAACACATGCAGAGACACCTTGGAAGACAGGCCTGGTGATATGCTTAAAAAAAAAAAAAAAAAAATCACAGCCTTCAAAAACCCCTGGAGCAGTTCTACTCTGCATGTATGGAGTGGCCATGAATCAGAAACTAACAACAACAAATGGCAACTAACAACCACAAATGTTCCCCAGGCCACGGGTGGGAGAAGTGGTGAGCAGCCTGGCAAATGCTGCAGGAAAATCAATTAAGAACAAAACAATGTTCCCTGGACGGGTAATTTTCCTGAAGAGAAGAGGGAAGGGGTGCTGGGCTCTGGTATCTTGAAAGGAAGGTGGGACACATTCTCCAAGATTTGAAATAGGAGAAAGGATGCATAGTGGATAAATAAAAAGAACACCAGCAACAATAACCAGTTCAACCAACCAAGATCCGGACAGGGAATACATCAAATCTCTGTTATTTTCTCTTGCTTACAGAGACTAGCATTTGGGGCTCAGAGCTTGGATGTAGAAATACACTAGTCTACAAAATCATGTAACAGCAATTGGGAACCTGGAGTATGATGGCTTAAAGGGGAATGGAAACCTGAAGAGGACGAGAAAAGGCACGACAAAAATACTGTAAAGTTGAGGCCTGACAGAGATGAGAGAGCGGGTGGGGAAAAACCAATGCATTTTTAGAAACTGCACTCTAAATCTTTAAGTTGTTCCTTGCTCTGCACTAGGAACTCCTACTTAACCCCAATGCCTCAGTGAAGGCTTGCTGCACACCTCAGCTTTGTATCAGTGGTACTTTGGAGAATGGAAGGCATAGTGTTCAGACGATGTTAGAAATCTAGGCCAAAGTGAAGATGGAAAACTCAATACTAACAGGGAATTAAAGCAAGAGAAAACCTGGGGAAAGGTAAGCAGTCCCTCGCCCCTGCCCTGTCCCACCACTATCCTTAGAGATAGTAATTCACTGCTGTGGAGTTGGATCCGAGTTGGATCCAACTCCCAGTGACCCCTCTTTGGGTTTCCTAGATGGTTTGACTACAGAAGTAGATTGTCCAGTCTTCCTTCTGAGGAGTGGCCAGTGGGTTTGAACCACCAGCCTTCTGGTTAGTAGTCAAAATGCCTGAAGTACTATGCCACCAGAGATCCTCGGAGATACTAGGGAACACCAAAGCCAGAAAACAAGCCCACTGCCCTCCAGTCAATTCCAACTCACTGAGACCCCACATGTTATAGTAGAACAGCCTCACAGGTTATTTTGGCTGTAATCTTTCTGGAAGCAGATTGCCAGGCCTTTTTTTCATGGCACTGGGGGGTGGATTCAAACTGCCAACCTGTAGATTAGTAGCTGAGAGCAAACTGTGCCACCCAGGGACCTTAGAAAGGAACATCTGACTTTCCAATCTATTTGGAATGGAGTATCAAATATATTTTGAATATTAAACATTATTTGAATATTAAAGAAAAGGAGATTTCCTGAGGCACCTGAGGAGCTCTGGTGGCATAGTGGTTAAAGCATTTGTTGCTAACCAAGAGGTCGGCAGTTTGAATCCACCAGTTGCTCCAAGGGAGAAAGATGGAAGCAGTCTGCTTCAGTAAAGATTTACAGCCTTGGAAACCTTATAGGGCAGTTCTACTCTGTCCTATAGGGTCACTATGAGTCAGAATAGATGTGATGGCTGTGGGTTTGGAGTTTTTGGTTTTTGAGGAACCTGGAGATATACCAAAAAAAAAAAAAAAAAAAAAAACCCCTCACTGCCATCCAGTCGATTGGACTCATAGGGACCCATCCTTGGGTTTCCCAGATGACATCTCTATGGAAGTAGATTGCCTAGCCTTCCTTCTGAGGAGTGGCTGGTGGGTTTGAACCGCCAGCCTTCTGGTTAGCAGTCAAATGCCTTAGGCACTACACCACCTGAGCTGCCAGAGACATACAGGAGTAGATACCTAATTTTGGAGTATTCAAAATACATAAATGGGGTAGGAAAGTGACCTGTTACCGGGCTGGGGACCCCTTATGTCCAAGACAATGAGGCCATCTCCTGAGGATGCTAAGAAAGCCTGATGCAGCTTGAGGGAAACCGTCTGGAATACAGTTTGGGAATTCCTTTGAACCATCTGTTTACTTAAGGGTTACCCTTTCTGGACTGTTTAAGAGCAGTCACTGTCTTAAACATTTTTGTCTTCCCAGTGCATTGTAGGAGCTCAATAAATGATAGAATAAATTAATGCATTAAAACAGGAGGACCAGGCAGTGGGTGTAAAGAGGCTCCAAAGGCGGTGCAATCCCAGAGACCAACCCAAAGGCACCTGAAGGCAAAAAAAATGCTCAATCCAGTGCCAGGGGAAAAAACTGCACCCACATTTAGCCCTGGTGGCGTAATGGTTAAGCACTTGGCTGCTATCCAAAAACTGGTGGTTTAAACTCACCCAGCTGCTCTGTAGGGAAAAGACCTGGCAAACTACTCCTGCAAAGATTGTTATTGTTATTTGCCGTCGAGTCAGCCCCGACTCATAGTGACCCCTCCTTGGGTTTCCGAGGCAGTATCACTACGGAAGTAGGATTGCCCAACCTTCCTTCCGAGGAGTGGCTGGTGGGTTTGAACCGCCAGCCTTCTGGTGAGCAGTCAAGTGCCTTAGCCACTATGCTACCAGAGCTCCCTGCAAAGATTACAGCCTACTAAAACCTATGGGGCAGTTTACTCCGTTACACGGAGTCGCTGAGTCCAGTCTCCACAGGGACCTAAAAACAAGGTCCGTCTCTTTTAGGAGGCGGGGCTGGGAGGTCATATTCCGCCTCGGCCCGTCAACTGACCAATCACCGCCTCAAAGGGTAGAATTTTTTTTTTTTTTTCTGTCTCCGCTACCTCCCTTTAGAAAGTAAATATGTTTGGGCGCCGTTCAAACCGACCAATGAGTGTTCGACGTTCCCTGAGGGTTGGCCCTCACTGATTGGCCAGAATTTTGTCGTCACTCCATTCCTGCCACCCCTTTGCACACAAGATGGCGGCGCCCAGCGGAGTAGAAGCTGCGCTTGGGGTTTGCTAAGGCTGACTCCCTTCCCCACTCCCTTTTTGGGCGCGGAGCTCCGCGAGCCCCGGGGCCGGGGGCCGGGCGGGGACAGGGGCACCTGCGTAGCTGGACCGCGAGTCCGCGCCCAGCCTACGCCGCCCCCACCCGGCCCCGGCCCGGCCCTGCCCGGCCCTGCCCAATCCCATCCGTTCCCGATCTCCTCCAGGTCTGACCTATTGCCTGGCCGTGGTACGCTACCGCCACTCCTACAAATCTGAGGTCTCTCCTCCAGCCTAGGTTTACGCCCCCTTTGGACATGTTTGACCTCTTCTGTCCCAGGCAGCCTGCCTTCAAAACCAGGACTCTTGGCCCGATACCCGGGCTCCTTTCCCTCCACTGAGACCCCAATTCCCTCCAACCCATTTCTTTCTCAGATTTCTGATTTCGCCCTGGGTTGGAGACTGCGCACTTCCCTTCCCAGTTTATCCCTACCTGCCAAAACATTGATAACTTTGACCCCGCCTCCTTTTTCCTGAGCCACACTTCCTTCTGGACTTTCACAGCCTTATCATGGAGGCTGTATACCTGGTAGTGAATGGAGTGGGCCTTGTGCTGGATGTGCTGAATTTGGTGTTGGACCTCAACTTCCTGCTGGTGTCCTCCCTCCTGGCTTCTCTGGCCTGGCTCCTGGCCTTCATCTACAACCTGCCGCACACCGTGCTAACTAGTCTTCTGCACTTGGGTCGTGGAGTCTTATTTTCACTGCTGGCCTTGATTGAAGCCTTGGTCCGGTTCACCTTTGGGGGCCTGCAGGCCTTGTGTACCCTGCTCTACAGCTGCTGCTCTGGTCTGGAGAGCCTGAAGCTCCTGGGACACCTGGCATCTCATGGAGCACTGCGGAGCCGGGAGATACTTCACCGGGGTGTCCTCAATGTGGTCTCCAGTGGCCATGCTCTACTGCGCCAGGCCTGTGACATCTGTGCCATTGCCATGAGCCTGGTTGCCTATGTGATCAACAGCTTGGTCAACATCTGCCTTATTGGCACTCAGAACCTCTTCTCCCTGGTGCTGGCCTTGTGGGATGCAGTGATGGGGCCTCTCTGGAGGATGACGGATGTGGTGGCTGCCTTCTTAGCCCACATTTCCAGTAGTGCTGTGGCCATGGCCATTCTTCTCTGGACCCCCTGCCAGCTAGCACTGGAACTCCTGGCCTCAGCTGCCCGCCTCCTGGCCAGCTTTGTGCTTGTCAATCTCACTGGTCTGGTGCTGCTGGCTTGTGTGCTGGCAGTAACGGTGACTGTGATCCACCCAGACCTCACCTTGAGGATGGCCACCCAGGCCCTCAGTCAACTAAATGCCTGGCCATCCTACCATAGGCTCCGAGAGGATGTTGTGCGGGTGTCTCGTCTAGTGATGGGCTTGGAGGCCTGGCGGCGAGTCTGGAGCCTCAGCCTGCAGCTGGTGAGCTGGCCGAACCGGGGAGGGGCACATGAGGCCCCGCAGGGTGGCCCTAGGAGGATGCCCTCAGCCAGGACCTGGAGACAGGAGACTCCTGAACCAGGGTCCACATCAGAGGCAGAAGAAGAGGAGGTCAGAGTGACACCTGCCCGTGGCCGGGAGAGGCTCAATGAGGAGGAGCCCATAGCTGGGCAAGACCCGTGGAAGTTATTGAAGGAGCAGGAGGAGCGAAAGAAGTGCGTCATCTGCCAGGACCAGAGTAAGACAGTGTTGCTTCTGCCCTGCCGGCACCTATGCCTGTGCCAGGCCTGCACCGAAATCCTGATGCGCCATCCCGTCTACCATCGCAACTGCCCACTCTGCCGTCGGGGCATCCTGCAGACCCTCAATGTCTACCTCTGAAGGCTCCCTACCTGCTCCCCCTCCCTCCACACTTTGCACAGGTACCTGTGCTGGGACGATACCAACATCTGATGTCTGGGTCCTAGCCTGAATCTCCTCCCAGCCCCCATGGCTATCAGGCCAAGCCCCTAAGCCATGCATCCAGGACTTCAAGATGAGATACTTTGGAAGACTTCAGCCTGGGGTGGAGTGGGGCAGGGTCGCTTAGCTTACCTTACACAGTGGGTCACTGAGGGTGGTGAGTGTATGTCACTATGCAAGGGCTCTGAGACTGTGCCCTGTGGGCTTTCCTCCAGCCTGGCCTGGGCCCACTCAGCTGCCAGCCTCTGGGGCTACTCCTCTGCTTCTGGTTTTTCTGTTGGGGATTTGCAGGCCCTCTTCCTGCCCCTTCTCCCCAGCTTGTGCAGCTATAACACATCAGGTGTTTTGGCAACTCAAGGGCCTTGGAATGATCTTGAACTTTTGCTGTCAGCCAGAGCCCCTGTATCTGGCAGGCTTTGAGTGTAGTATCTCTCAGGTGCCCTTGGAGCTACCACTTAACACCTGTCATGATCTTATAAGCCTCTCTCTCCCAACCTGGTGTACAAGCTAAGATCAGGAGTTCATCCCTGGAATTGTAGGGGGCCAGGGAGAGGGGCTATATCTAGACCTGGCTTTGGGACCATGTACCTTCTGGCAGCCCAGCTCCACTGGGAGCCCCAGAAGGGAGAACCAGATTTCTACTTGGGCCTTTTTAACTCTCCACATCCCACACAAAAATGGCATTCCCCTTGTTTGTCTCTCCCTGGCATTGGGGAGGGCAGACTGCACATTTCACTGGGGTCCAAACACAGAAGGGGCCAGGGCCTGGGGGCATGTGGCTCATTGAGGAGCTCATCTGGCCAGCTTCTGGTGAATAAAGTTCTGTCGATAGCTGACAGTCTGTGTGCATCCCTGCAAAGGTGGGCAGTTGGGCAAGGTCCTGATGCCGCAGCAGGGTCCCTCGGTCCTGCTGGAGTCAAGTGTGGTCTGTAGGGGAACCTAGGCTTAAGCTGGAGCATGGGGAAGAGAGAAGGTAGGGACAGTGCCATGATGGGACACATGGGTAAGCTGTTCAGCTGTTAACTGAAAAGAAGTTCAAGTCCATCCAGAGGCACCTTGGAAGAAAGGCCTGGCAATCTACCTCTGGGGGGGAAAAAAAATCAGCCATTGAAAAGCCTGTGGAGCACATTTCTCTGACATGCATGGTGCTGTCATGAGTTGTTGACAGAAACTGGTTTTGATTGCCACGCTATGATTTTTGGAAGTAGATGGCCAGCCCTTCCTTCCTAATCCATCTTAGTCTGAAAGCTCTGCTGAATCCTGTTGAGCGTCATAGGAACACCCAGGTCTCTACTGATGGATGGGTGGTGGCTGTGTATGAAGTCCCTTGGCTGAACCCACGTGTCCCATGTGGAGGGTGAGAATTCTACCACTGAACCACCAGTGGTCTTGTTCTCATTAGGCTACCCTTTCTTAGGTAGATGGGGTACCTCCGTCTGTATGGAGCTTACGGACATAAGCAGACACAATGCTGGGGTGGGATTATAGGAAGGCCTTGTGGCAAGAGTGCCAGGCTAGGAGTCAGGATCCCTGAGTCCTACAGGCTCTGCTGCTAATTAGCCCGTGCCGCAACGTGGGGCTGGCTGGGTTAGCTTTCACTCTCCTATTTGTGCTTTCTTGCACTCGTGGCTTTTGGAACACCTCTCTTTTTTTTTACTAACTGATGCCTCTGGAGAAAGTCCTGGAGATCTGCTTTGGATGGGTCAGTGGCTTAAAAACCTCAAGGAGTGTAGTTCTACTCTTCAACAACCCTGAGTTGGAGTTGACTTGATGGTAACTGGTTTGGTTTCTTGGTTGGTTGGTTTTCAGGATGGAATGTGAACTTTCTCAGGGTCGGCATGTGTCGGAATCAACTGAACAACACTGGGTTTGTTTTTGGTTTGGTGAACTTAATTCATAAGCAGCCTCCCCAGCTTTTCCAAACTCAGGGTTCCTGCTTCCTGGAATCCACACTACCCTCTGATCCCTGGAGAAGCTGGTGGTTGTCTTTGTGTGTCTCTGCATAGAGTCTAGCGCTGTAATGGTATGGACTATGGCAGCCGGGCCTCCTGGTGAAGAGCAAGGAGTTGAATCCTGGACTTGGGAGGTCTGACTCTAACTCAGCTCTGGGGCCCAGTCCCCATTGGTCATATTCTCCCTCACCTGACTAGCAAGAGAGGGAGAAAAGGGGTAGAGGGTACCCCCTCCCAACTTGTATGTTGCCTCCCAGAACATGAAGTCTGCTTTCTGGGATTGGGGGTGGGCTGGGGGATGGTCAGGGAAAGAGGTAGGTCAGGAAGAAACTCTTGACAGCCCCCTCCAGTTTCTTTTGGGTTGAGGGCTGAGCACATTGAGGCGCTGGCAAGCCTTGATTTGTCAGTTGTTGAACGGGGGTGGGGCCTGGCTGTGTTCTGATAGTCGGAGAAAGTATGCCTTGAGGGATCTTTGTGGCCAGCCTCAGACTGGCTCGGCCCACCCAGGCTAGCCCCAGCACAGCAGGGGAGGAGTGCCTATATCCACCTCAGAGTCGGGAGGCCTGGGGGAGGGCTTGACTCTTTCTGTTTCTTCCCCAAAACGTCTCTGAGAGACTGGGATAATTAGCTGGAGCGGGAGCCCAGCAAGGGGAGGCTTGGCTCCTTCCAGTCTCTGTTTAATGTAGGGATAAATATTTTATGAGAGAAGATAAACTTCCGGAGCTGAGAGCAAAGGACCCCCTTTTCCTCCGCCACCACCTGGAGTTCCATTGCCTGACCTGAATACCCTTCCCTCCTAACCAGCCCAGTTGTGCAGAGCGACGGCTCCCCGGCGTCATTGCCGCATTCTGGAGCTGGGGTGCCCCCTGGTGGTCATCTCGAAACTACTTCTCTAGGCATCCAGATACTACTTTCTAGTCTTCACTCCCCTGGAAGCGACCCCTCCTTGGGTTTCCGAGGCGGTTATCTCTACGGAAGTAGATTACTCAGTATTCCTTCCGAGGATTGGCTGGTAGATTTGAACCACCAGCCTTCTGGTTAGCAGTCAAATGCCTTAGGCACTAGGCCACCAGAGCACCCCTCTGGCATGGGTGACAGAAATAACTTTCCATTTATCTAGGGACAAAGCAAGTAGCTGTGAACGAGAATCCGGGACTTCTTTTTGCTGGACTGGGGCAAGGGTGTGGTGACGGCAGCCCGACCCGATTCACATGGCAATTTTGAGTTAAACATTTTCTGGGTGGACAGAGCGCTACTCCAGGAAGTTATGTAGGTTGTGCTTTCAACCGAGCAGTCCTGTTTAGGGCACAACCTGTATAACTTAGGTGGCAGCTCTGTGGAGTGGGCTCTCAGTCCTGCTTCCTGTAGCTCTGCCTCATAGTTCCACTCCATCCAAGAACCCTTCTTTGGCTGAGAACCAGGGCATCCCCACCACTAAAGAAGAAAGGCTGAAGCCAGTGGAAGAGTTTCAAAGATTTATTGGATGATCTCTAAGAAAAGGACCGGCCCTGGGAGCAGAGAGATAGGAAGGGCCCTGAGAAGCAGAGGACCAGGAGGAGAGCACCCCGCCTTGGGGTCCTGGGCTGGAGCAGCTTGGCACCCACACCTACCAGCATAGTACAATCCTTTGGTCTTGGACAGAAATCCGGCCACTGCCCCCTGTGGCTGGCCCTGATCTCAGACAACCTCTGTCCCCAAGCCCTGCCTTAAACTGAGAGGCCCATAGCCTGCCACCCTACTCATTCATTCACACCATTCCAGGGGGGCCAGCCCTCCTGGAGGTTGTGGCTGTCAGTGTGGCACCCTCCTTCCCAGGAGTGAAAGAGGGTGGGCTCACTTTCCAGTGAGCATCAGGCGAAAACTGGGGAGCTGTTCCAGTCGGAGTACACCAGAAATCCAGAGAAAGTGCTATCTGTTTTGATGCTGGCATAGATGCCAATGTAGTCACCCACGCCCACCTGCACCCACACCTGGTCCTCAGGCTCCAGCCTCACCATGGCGCCCCCGGAGAGTGAGGCTGGCTTTGGCCACCCCCCGAAAAACTGGAAGAAGGAGGCAATAGACTCGCCATTCTTCACCAGATCGAACTGCAGGCTGGCCCGATAGACAGTGGCGTGGACCGCGAAGTAGTAGACCCCCGGCACCTGACAGGTGAACTTGCCAGTGGTGGCGTCGTAATGTCCCTGCTCGTTCACCAGCACGCGGTCGAACGGTAGCGGCGCGTCAGACAGCGGAGGCACTCGGCTTTCTGAGCGCTTGGCGCTAAAGGCCGATCGCGGGGGCACTGCGCATTCCCCTGCAGGCCCGGTCGCCCCCACCGGCCCAGCCTCTCCTCGCGGACCCGGCTCCCCTCGGGGCCCCGGCAGCCCTGCGGGCGGGAAGAGGGTGAAGTTTGGTGAGTGCAACGGCCCCTACAGCCCACAGCCGCCACTTCCTCAGTGGTGCCTCTCTCGGCATCAGTGCACCGCGCCGCCCCCCTCGCCCGCTGCCTGCAGGGTTTGGGGCAGATCTGCGTGGGGCGAGTCAGAGCGGTGCCTGGGGTCAGGGCCCCCCGCCGGCTGAGTCATGCTCTCTGCACCCAGAGCAGGCGGGAATGGGCGGGGCTGGACGGGCAGCGCCCCCTGGCGGGAACCCCGAGCTCCGCGGGGGCGAGGGGCACTATCGAGCTGTGGGCCTGTTGGTCAGACAACCCCATGGACCACAACGAAGGCACATCTTACCCGGCCTTCCACCCTCGCCTTTCTCGCCCGGAGCCCCGGGCGCGCCGTCGCGGCCGTCGCGGCCGTCGCGGCCAGGCAGCCCCTGGCTGCCATGGTGGCCTGGCGTGCCTGGAAGCCCTGGGTGCCCTGGACACAGGCTGGGGATCTTGTTGTCGTCCAGCGGGGGCGAGCAGGACGCCAGGCACAGGAGCAGCAGGGTCAAGAGCGGCCTCATGGTACTGGCACGCGGAACCCGGACGATGGGGTCCTCTCGTAGTCTGTGGGCAGGGCAGGGACTAGAGTTGGGACCCAGAATCCCGGAACGTGCCGCGCTCCCCAACCCCAGCGCGGCATAGTCGATCCCCACCCCACTGCCACCTCCCTGAGACTGAGCGGCCGCGGGAAGAGAGGCAGTGGGTGGTACCCCTAGACCCGAGAATCCATCGAGCTCAGCCTTCCCCTCCCCGCCCCCCAGCCCGGCCCATGCCCCGTCTTTCCCACTGTCCCCTCCCCCTCCCCATTTTTTTTCCCCCTTCTTCGCCAGACTCACCCCCCTCCCGGCTCCCGGGGCTGCTCGCTCTCTCTTTGCCTCCTTCCGGGGGCGCTCACAGTCCGCACCTTCCAATTGGCCCCTGCTCCCACCCCCGAGTTTCTCCCCAGGAGGCGCCCCCCTGCCCTCGCCGTCCCACTGGTCCGCTCCGCTCCTCCCAGACTCCAAGAGGAAACCAGTTGTCTAAAGGCCAAAAACTACAGGCCGGGAAATAGCAGAGAAATAACTCGTGGTGTAGGCCGGCGCCCGGCCAAAGTTAGGGGGAGAAGGAGGGGAAGAGTCATTTGAGCCCGACACAGAAAGGCAGGACCGTGAGAGATGGAGACTCAGAGCAACTGCTACTCCAAAGAGCTGGAGGAGAGATGGTGCAGAGACAGGGACCAAGGACAAGGCACTACTACTCCAGGGAGAAAGATAAGCAGAGAATGAAGAGTGGAGAATTCTAGAGGCCTACAGACAGCTGGATCCCCAGGGCTTAGAATAGGGCCTGCCACATAGTAGTCACTCAATATATATTTGTTGAGCTAATGAGAAAGAAGAGGGGTTGATGGAGAACCTGGAAAAATGAGATGGAAAGGGATGGGAACTAGTCTGTTGGCACAGAGTGTAGCCAGGCCAGCTGCCTGGGGCAGCTGGGGCAAGAGAAGGACAAGAAAGGGGCTGAGAAGGTGGGAGGTGGGACAGTCCTATTAGCCTGGATTGAGGACTCTTGTCCTCTCCCCTACTGGGAGGATGGGCAGAGTCCCATCCTGGTTCCCCATTCTTTGTTCCTCTGCCTGCCTGCCCTGATAGTCATAGAGGGTGGGCAGGCAGAGGGCAGGGGCTGGCTTTAGTGTCAGGGCTGGGCACACGCCTCCAGGCCAGCTGTGTCAGGCAGCCTGTTGCAGTTGAAGGGCCAGGGGGTGCCCAGTAGTGCCAGGCTAGACTGGCACTGGCTCTCTGCCTCCTGGCAGACAGAGCGGCAGGGGGGAAGGACACTGCCCAGCGGGGTGCAGTGGGGCACAAGCAGCCCACAGAGGAGGCTCCGGAAGTTCTGGTAGCAGGGCAGGCTTGTCAGGCTCTGTGGAAGGAGACTGCTCAGGTATCCGCTCCCCAGGTTCCCTCCCTCTTCCAAGGGTTCCCTCCCTCTCTCTGCCCAGAGCACCTTGTAGCCTCTGAGGACTTCCACCACCTCTTCCTGGGTGGCCATGCCCACCCAGATGTTAGGGAAGGCTGTGGTATTGTAGCTCAGACCGATGCACATCTCCACCTGGACAGGCTCACAGGCCAGCTCTGTAGAGGAGGGTTGGATCACGGTGGAGACTACTCACTAGCTCTATGACTTGAGGCAAGTCACCTAACCACTCTGAGTCATTTCTGTATTGGTCAGGCGGGAGTTGTGGGAATCAAAGGGGATAACATGGAGATTCCAATTTTCTACGAGAGCCTGCTCTAAGCGTCATTCACTAGCCCCGGCATCTGGGGGCACCTCCTTGATCTCAGGGAATTGGGGCATCATCATTGTCAGGATTTTACTTCCTGTGTAAAATCTCACCTTCATCTTTTAAAGTAGGCCGGCTGTGGAGAGGGACTCTGTGTGACAAGAGTGGGCTGGTTTCTGAAGCCCACAACCATCAACTCTCAGATTCCTACTTCACTTGAGGTAACACTGGTGGCACTAAGTACCACCATCACCAGGTAGGCCTCAGGTGAGAGTTCCTTCAGGATACTGTGATGTGGTCCCAGAGCTACCACTCCCCCCAAATCTGGGAGTATACCAAAACAAACAAACAAACAAACAAAAAATCCCAAGCCCAAGCCACTGCCATCAAGTCAATTCCAACTCATAGCAACTCTTTAGGTCAGAGGGTCAGAGTAGAACTGTCCCATAGAGTTTCCAAGGCTATAAATCTTTATAAAAACAGACTGCCTCATCTTTCTCCCATGGAGTAGCTGGTGGATTTGAACCACCAACTTTTTAGTTGGCAGCCAAATACTTTAGCCACTATACCACCAGAACTCCTTCTAGGAGGATGTTGTTGTTGTTATTTGCCATTGAGTCAGACCCGACTCATAGCGACCCCTCCTTGGGTTTCTGAGGCAGTATCACCATGGAAATAGATTGCCCAACCTTCCTTCCGAGGAGTGGCTAGTGGGTTTGAACCACCAGCCTTCTGGTTAGCAGTCAAGTGCCTTAGGCATTATGCTACCAGGGATGGATATTATGTGCCAGAAGATTTCTATGAGATGGGCAGTGTAAATGGCTCAGCCCTGCTAGGCCCTGCCCAGTTTGCCCCGGGGCAGATTTCTCACCTGGAGGTGGGAACAGGCGGCTGCTGCAGTTGTCATTGCTGCCCTCTGTGCAGTCTCTCCATAGGTCACATATCCACCGCAGATCCTTACACCCTCCATCCTGGCAGGAGAACTCTCTGGGCCCACAGGGGTCTGCAGTACATGGGGCGTGGAGATAAACTTCCCCACTGACCAGGGTCCAGCACCCTTCCTGTTCTTCTGGAGCTGCCCATCCCACTTTCCCGGGGCACCTACTCTCTGTGGCATTGAAGGCCTGGTAGGTGGCTGAGAAGCCCCCACTGCTGATGCCATGGTCTATCCTAAAGAGCACAACCAGTTCGTGTTTCGAGATGAGGCGGGGGGGTGGCTCTGCTCCACAGAACCTGCCCAAAGCAGAGAGGAGTCCTGGGCACAGGGCCTCTTGGCCAATGGAGTATACTCAGGCCTCCCCTAGGTCTGTGCCTCCTTCGGGGTTCTGGGCAGGGTGGTTTGGGCATGGCAGAGGTGCTGGGAGGCACAGTTGTTGACTCAAGGAACTTAGGGTCTGGTGAAGAAAACACACATAGCCAGTAAAGTATTAAACAACTTCAGGATGGGAAACATAAATGAGGGTTCATGGGGAGGTGGAAATGGACCCTGCAGGGTGGGAAGAACTGGGGAGGGGGAGGACTGGGAGGGCCTTCTAGGGAAGGAGGAATTGCAGGAGCAAAGGCTTTGAGATGAGAAAGTAGAAGCCCTTTGTAGAGTGACAGTGAAGACGCTTCTGGCTTGGGGCAACAGAAGAAAATAAAGCTGGGGAAGATGTTGGGGCCAATGTGTGCAGACCTTGAGTGCCAGACTCTGGAGTCTGGAGTTGACTCAAGGCTCCTCTCCCTGGGTCTACCTGTACCTGCCCAGGAGGCTGAGGGCCCCTGAGTTGCTGGTCTCATACACCTCCACGTAGTTAAGCTTGCATTCCTCCTGAGCTTCCAGGCTGAAGTTGTGGAACTGCAGTTCTATGCTGTACTCAGCAGGCACAGAGATACGCCACGTGCAAAGCTGGGGGTGGGACACAGGAGGGAAAATTCACCGGCACCTTTCCTGTGCCGACCTGGGCATCCACGCTGAACTCCAGAGGAGGCTCCTTCCCTCGGCAGACTAGGCAGGGAGAGAGTGGACATACCCATCTCGCCCTCATCACCAGGTCTCTTAAGATCAGAAGGGCGCTTTAACTTGTCTGGTCTCAGAGATAAAGCTACTCTGAGCAGAGACTTCTGTGTTCCTGGGAACTTGGCACTACAGTTGGCCTTGTCACTGCTATCAGCACAGTTGGCACCCTGACTCATGGCAATGCGTCATGCACAATGGAACAAAATGCTACCCCGTCCTGTGTTACCCCCCTGATGGATTGCTGGTTGGACTGTTGTGATCCACAGGGCTTTCAGTGGTTGATTTTCAGAAGTAGATCTCCAGACCTTTCTTCCTAGTCTGTCTTAGTCTGGAAACTCCACTGGAATCTGTTCAGTATTGTAGCTACACACAAGCCTCCACTGACAGACAGGTAGTGACTGTGGTAGGTGCATTGGCCGGAAGTTGAACTCAGGTCTCCCGTTGGGAGGTGAGAAATCTACCACTGAGCCCCCAGTGCACTTAATGTTTCCTTCCCACCTGCTTGATCTGACCTTCCCAAGTACAAGACAGTGTCTACCATGCTACTCTCGATCACCCAGTTTACTGGGTGCTCAGGTATGCCCAAATATGTCCCCTCCCCGCCCCGCTCCATGGAGCACTGCACATACCTGTTGATGCACCTGGTATAGCTGCAGGTGGTTGGGAGTTGAGAAAGTGCCCTGGAGCCCAGTCAAATTCCCCCCACACCCTGTGGAAGGAGGAAGGGCACATTTATTTGCTAGGTCCTGTGCCTCTACCCCTTTAGGGCTGGCAGTGGCTGTGGAGTGAGAGTTTGAGCCATGCTTCTGGGGCAATAGGATGACCAGGCAGGGAATGCAGGTGGGGGCAACTGGGCAAGAGCTGGGTAGGCCATCCTGAACCTGGGTCAGATACCTGAGGACAGTACCTGCCCCACCCCTGGCAGGACCTTTACCTGGGAAGCTGGCAGTGCAGTTGGCCTCATCACTGCCATCAGCACAGTTGGCAAAGCCATCACACACTGAGTCGGGGAGCAGGCAGAGGAGCTGGTCACAGGAGAACTCGTCCTGGGCACAGCTCCCTGGGGGTGGACGTCTGGCTTCAAAAATCCCCAGAGTCTCCTCCCCTTTGCCAGGGCTGGGGATGACAGGTGGGATGGGAAGTAGACACTCCACAGTAGGGAGGGATGTGGTGGGAAAGCACTCACCATGCCCAGGGGCCACTGCCTGGTACCAGGCATGGAAACCGAGTCCTTCCACACTGCTGTCAGAGACGAAGGCCACCCA